AACAGAACTTTACGAAGACAGCGTGACTTTAATTAAACAGATAGCGCTACTAATACCGTCTGTACGAAGAAAGTTCGGGGCCTCTGGTGGCTCAGGGAGTAGCGCGCCTGACTCACATCCCAGAGAACTCGGGTTCGATTCCCGACTCCGACCCTGGCCTGCGCTTTCCTATTTTTCCTTTTTTCCTACCACCTCCCTAACACAAATTCCTTCTTTCCCCCAAGAGGAACCTACATATATACGACATTATTCTATCTTTAAACCAGTTTATGGCCGTATAGCGAGTATTCGCTGGAGCCAATCCCAAAACCCAAGCAAGCAAGCAAGCGAAGAAAGTTCGGAAACTTTTGGGACAGACCGTGTATATTTTACAATCAGCGTCCGACTGACTACAAAACTAATTAATAATTTTGATTTGATTTTAGTTGAAGAAAGAATATATCGTCGCTACGACAAGCGTGATGGTATGGCACATCGACGAATTTTCGCATGCACTTTTAGATGGATCGTCCATTGGGCAATTCTATTCTGGTGATAGTTACATCGTTCAATGGATGTATTCTGTCACGGTTACTGGTAAGCCTTTTATTGTGTAATTTCGTGGAATCGCAGAACTTTTATAAAAGCCGCGTTTTAAATTCATATCTTTAAGAAAATGTTTGAAAAAGAAATGAAAAGTTTTTGCTTTTAGACTTTAGTTTCATAATAGAATTTCCATTTTCTAAAAATAAGTTTAAAATAGTTTATATGGATTTTATATTTAAGTTCTTTAGTTATGCGTATATGTATGTGATCTTAATTATAAGAGTTTTAGCTCTTAAAATACAATTGTTTTTATATTTGTTTTCTTATGTCCATAGGTAGAGAACTTACTGGTCTGCCCTCTAAACACTTGGCAAAGGGTCGGGATAGGTCCGTATATTTTATTTGGCAGGGCAGAAATGCATCTTTGAACGAACGAGGTGCTGCGGCATTGTTAACAGTTGAATTAGGCAATGATCGAGGCCCTCAGGTAAGAATAATAAAAAGCTATCATGGGGTCTATTCTTTATAGCTGAACTGAACTGAATTGGCTGCACTAATTCAGAGTTTATCTTTCTTCTTTCAATGTGGAGAAAATTATATTTAGTATATATTTGCAGATTCGTGTTGTCCAAGGGCATGAACCGGCTGCATTCTTAAATTTATTTTCTGGAAAGATGGTGGTGCACAGTGGCAAGAAATCTGAGAAAAAACGTGAGAAACAATGGAGATTGTACATTTGTCGAGGTATTTTAGATTCTGAGACGTTTTTGATCGAGGTTTCTTGTAGCACTCGACAATTAAGAAGTAGAGGTTCCTTTGTATTGCTAGACATCGAAAATGCAAAAGTGTATGTCTGGCATGGAAATAACTCATTACGCCATGTTAGAGAGGTATATTTTTCATTAATTTCCACAATGATTATTATAATAAATGTACACAAAATATTAAATAATATTCGCGCGCATATGGGTATAGAGTTTAACATTGCGATAAATCTTGCATTTTGCATACTATTAAACTCATAATAATTCATAATATAACAAATGTAAATAATAGAAGTTAAATAGTATTTCTTTCTTTCTTTCTTTCTCTTCTTGTCTTATATTACTTTGTTTCTGTTTTTTTTTTTTCTCTGAGGCACTATTCTATACACGCTACGGATAGTTCTCTTTCTTTCATTCTTACTTTTTCTCTTCTTTATAGAATGCGATAAAAGCAGCAAACCAATTGAAAAAAAATCGACCCGAAGAAGTCGGATTATCGAACAAGGATGATGTACAAATATATGAAATTCAAGAAGGTTTGGAACCCGAAGAATTTAGTAACGGTGAGTAATCTGTTTAGTGAACAGTTTTTAAACATTTAAATTTAAGGAGGAACTGGATGGATCAGCTATATCAAAAGTTAATAAATCTAATACATTTCGTGATTCATGAATTTGACACAAAGTTACTTTTAGCATTTCAAAATATTAAATTAATAATTAATTTATGAGTTAAAGTAAAAATTTGTCCTGTAGAATATAATTTAATCTCAAAATCGTAAATATTATCTTATATCAAACTAACTTTTTTATAGCAACCACGATAACTATACAACAAAAAAATTTTAATTCTATAGGACAAATATTTACTTAACTCACAAATAAATTATTAATTTTATATTTAAAAGAATAAAAGCGTGTGCTTTGTGCAATATCAAATTCATGAATCTCGAAATATAATATATTAGAGTTAATAATTTTTGATATAGTTGATCCGTCCAGTTCCTCCTTAAAAACTGAAAATATGTTAGATTTACACAATCCAATTCGCCGCTCGCTCCATTGCAAATTTTAATTACCAAATGTAATGTTTTGGATCAATAATGCACATAATTTCTAGCAAACAAAATTGTGTATGATTTTTTTAAAATGCGCATTTTCAAATAATATTAATCATTGTGTGATGTTGATTTTTTTATTAAATATGTAACTATAAAAATATTTCTCCTTAGATTAAATATTTAAAAAATAGTATTCTCATGTAAAATTATGTATTTTTACATTACAAATTAAGAGCACAACTAATTTGGATGCTCTCTCTCGTTCTCTTTTTCTCTCCTCTTAAAATGTAGCCCTTTTGATTTGACAGCCTAAAGAGACAAAAAATGAGTTTAACACTCACAATGTATAATAATGTCGTTTATTTACGAAACTTAACGCTGCATAACTTTGCATTTCTCAGCATTAGGTAGTATGAATAAGAAGTTGTATTGGTCATCGGAAACATCTGAAATACAAGGTCACACACCAAGGCTTTATCATCTATCGAGTATCTCTAAAACCTTTCGCGCAACGGAAATATTATGTCCACATCGCGCAGACCTCACCACACCATTTCCCTTTTCACAGGATGACTTATATCAAGCGAATCAACCAGGTATGATACGTTTAAAAATGCATGTCAGACATTAATTCGCGGATGAGCATGCAATCGGAAATTCTGCTTTGAAAAAAATGCGCGAGAAAAAAAGTTTTTATTTTATTTAACAAGACTATTAACAAGGAAGGTATTTTATAATTCAGTATTTTGTAAGATGAACTAGAAACTTTCAATGCATTTTTTCCAAATTGGCCTTGTCTTCTCTACCAATCTCACCTTTATTTCTTTAATAAATTTTTTCTTTTCTTTGTTACGAATTTATGAACTATGTAAGAACAGACATGCTTTTTTTGGCATACATTAAGATAATACTAATAAATTTATAACCAACTGGTGCAGTTTTTATTTGTAATATCTTTATTTTTATTTATTTTTTATTTTTGCCACGTTTTACTTATAACTTTAGCATTAATGTTTATTTTTTTTATATTTTAATAATTTTTTTATTGAGTTTTATTATGAAAATTTTTAACAAAATTATTAAACTCTTTCAGCTTTATTTTTATTGGATGATAAAAACATAATTTGGATTTGGCAAGGATGGTGGCCTGATAATGGAACAGAAGATCAGTCTGGTAGTAAAACTGTCCGTTGGCAGACTGAGAGAAGAGCAGCGATGACGATAGCGATACAATATTGGCGAAAGACTCGAAACACGCAAACAACGAATCTTCCAATATACTTAGTATGGGCTGGTTTAGAACCTTTGCAATTTATAAATCTCTTTCCTGAATGGATATATCGGGATGATGTCGCTGAGTTAAATATAGAGGTATGTTTAAAAATATATATATACATATATCGTAATTTTTTTCTATTGAAATCTTTTTATATCTTGTGTATTTTGCTAAAAACAAAGATTTACTTTAAAATAATAAATACTATTTCTTTGTGCATGTGTGATTCATTATATTTCAAATGTATGAAAATATGATCCTAAATATGTAATACACATAATGTGCATTTATTAAACATATGATCAGGATGGCCGGAATCCAGGGGAAGTATTAACTGCAGAAAATGAATTGGCTCGCTTAACACAAAGCATATATCCTCCTGCGCAGTTATTGCAAAGACCTTTACCTGATGGAGTCGATCCCACACGCTTAGAATTATATTTATCTCAACAACACTTTCAAGTTAGTATCATACATATTTAACTATTTATGATTTGTGAATAAAGTAGGATATATACATAAAAAAAAAATAAAATATTTTTTATCACATTTAATATTAACAATATTCTCTCAAAAAAGCTATAGATAATATATTTCATGATTTAGGAGCTATTGGGAATGAGCAAGGAAGAATTTCAACAGCTTCCAAACTGGAAACAAGTAAATCTTAAAAAGGAAATAGGATTATTCTGATGGATTGTTTTCAATGTCTATACTGCGAGCAGTAGCTGCTCTTGCAAAATGTTGGAGTTTTCATTATTGTTTCTGATATTTATAACTTGAAAATTGTAAAAAACTGTTCCTAAATATGTTTTTGTTAAAACTTGCAATATATAAAACGAAACATTTCGACCGAGTAATTTAACGACGATAAACCTAGTGTAATAATTAACCGAAGGTTAAAAATCAACACGAATCGGAAACATTGCCAGCGCTATTTGAATTATGACGTATATATGTAATGATATATAATAGGCATACGAACACAGATGATTATATATTTTTAATACCTGCTACATGCGAATCTGCTTGCGAACATTTTCTTTATATTTGTATAATCTTTATAAATTTGCGTATGTGAATGATATGCTGTTCTACCTTATTCCTTCATGTATAATATAATCTATATATAAGACCGTTTCTATAACGCAAAACATATTGTGTATTTTTAAGTAGTATTTCATAAAAAACACTATATTGTTTTAATCTTTTCTTTGTTCTTACATGTAGGTTGTAGTATTTAAAACAAAACGATATAATACACACACGGTACAAAAAAATTATAGTTATTTTTCAAGATAATCTTTTTTTTTCAACAAGAATATTTTTTAAATGTTTAATCTAAGGAAAAATCTTTTATAGATAAAATAGCATATATATTCATGTATAATTTATTTACAATTATTCCTTGGAAATATGGCTTATGATACATAAATATTTACAAAAGAAGCTTAAACATATTTGCACTTTTCATAACACATAAATGCAAATTTTATTATTTATTGTAAAACTGTATAACAATCCGTACTTTCGTGAAAAAAGAAAATTTTGAAATGAATATTTTACTAACTGGAGAAACTGGCAAATAAAAGTCAAGGCTTGGTTATTTGCCAGTTTCTCTACTTAGTATTGTTAGTGCTCTGTTAGTGATCTATTGCTGTTATTACTAAATATTTTAATTACAAATTGCTCAAAACTATCAAGCAACAATAATTAAAAATATATAAAATACAATAGTTTGATAGTTAAGACTAACTAAATGTAACTTACAAATGATTTAATACTTTTTGATAGATTTTCGTATAAGTGCTAATCTTTGTTTATGCGCTTCAGTGACAGTAGCTCGTTTGTATGGACGTACTTCATCTGTACCAAAACCAGGGATCCACATGTTCCAATTTCTTTCTAAAAATTAAAATATCAGATATAAATATCATCAATGCTTAGCATTTCTTTGTGCGATTTATTGCAATAATTAAAACTTTTTTGAGATGTATTCATTATAGATTTTATGGCAATCAAAACTTTTATAGGCATAATATATGGATAAAATTTATAAAAACAAAATTAGCCCAACAAGAATGCCATGATAATGATGCTTGTCGTTTAAAAATAGTATCAAATAAAGTTTGAATAATTTTAATAATTTTAAAGTGAGCTTTACTTGAAACTTTTGAAAACTAAACAGAATTGAAATAAGCGTAAGGATTTAAAACATGTGAATGATTAAAGCAAACCCAACCTGAGAGGGACAACAAGCAATCTGAGAGCTATTTTTTTCTATTAATGTTATAAATGATATAAATAGGAAACTCACCCAAATGCAACTGTACATCTTTAACTTCCACTGTATTCGCATGACGATGCTTAGCCAATAAACAAGCTGCATTTACTGTTGTCTCTACAAAGTCATCCGCTAATTGTAAAAGCATTTCTTCCACTTCTTCATCTAACTGTTCAGTAGGATCTACTTCCCTTACCAACTCTTGCAATCTTGTTTTTGTTAAAAACTAAAATCAAATAGCAGTATCAATTAGCAAACATATTAAAAAAATATAATATACAAAAGTAATCATCGTGTCATCAATCGAGACAAGAAGACGATAAATCACATTGCGTAAAGTAAATAATGAATATAAATTTGTATTATTGTATTATACAAATAATCGTTTTTTAATTGTATTTCATAAATTACATATATATAAAAATGTATCTTTTGCAACCTGATCTTGCTGATAAAAAGCTCATCTTTATTGCCTAAATATTAAGGATATAATTGTGTATAAACGTTTTAATTTGTATGATGTTTATATAAATTACATACTTGTGGAAAATCGCTAAAAGAACTTGGAGTGGACGACTGTTGTAATATTTGTTTCGGAGACTGTGAAATGTATTGAGTTTGTTGAGATTGCGTCTGTGGTATAGTAGTTGCCGTGGTACTACCGATATTGCTTTGCATGTTAGACAAAACCGATGAGGCCTGATTATTAGAGCTTGCAGACTGTAAAGTCCCAAGCACAGGTGTTATCTCGGAACCTGTGTTAGTTGTTTGTACGATAGCACTTTGTTGTGACATTCTTACACTAAACACACACAATTCGTTCTAAATTTTCGTCAATTTCATCAAACCAACTCTGTTCAGTGAGTTTATTGACCCACTTTATTGTTGTAATTTTGTAATTACGAGAAAACAGTTATTTACATTCTCGATATGTATGTTACACGTATATCGGAGAAAGATTACAAACGTAATTGCTATAATATTCAATGTGTGTGTGTGTGTGTGTGTGTGTGTGTTGTGTGTGTGTGTAGAAATATGGCTTATGATACATAAATATTTACAAAAGAAGCTTAAACATATTTGCACTTTTCATAACACATAAATGCAAATTTTATTATTTATTGTAAAACTGTATAACAATCCGTACTTTCGTGAAAAAAGAAAATTTTGAAATGAATATTTTACTAACTGGAGAAACTGGCAAATAAAAGTCAAGGCTTGGTTATTTGCCAGTTTCTCTACTTAGTATTGTTAGTGCTCTGTTAGTGATCTATTGCTGTTATTACTAAATATTTTAATTACAAATTGCTCAAAACTATCAAGCAACAATAATTAAAAATATATAAAATACAATAGTTTGATAGTTAAGACTAACTAAATGTAACTTACAAATGATTTAATACTTTTTGATAGATTTTCGTATAAGTGCTAATCTTTGTTTATGCGCTTCAGTGACAGTAGCTCGTTTGTATGGACGTACTTCATCTGTACCAAAACCAGGGATCCACATGTTCCAATTTCTTTCTAAAAATTAAAATATCAGATATAAATATCATCAATGCTTAGCATTTCTTTGTGCGATTTATTGCAATAATTAAAACTTTTTTGAGATGTATTCATTATAGATTTTATGGCAATCAAAACTTTTATAGGCATAATATATGGATAAAATTTATAAAAACAAAATTAGCCCAACAAGAATGCCATGATAATGATGCTTGTCGTTTAAAAATAGTATCAAATAAAGTTTGAATAATTTTAATAATTTTAAAGTGAGCTTTACTTGAAACTTTTGAAAACTAAACAGAATTGAAATAAGCGTAAGGATTTAAAACATGTGAATGATTAAAGCAAACCCAACCTGAGAGGGACAACAAGCAATCTGAGAGCTATTTTTTTCTATTAATGTTATAAATGATATAAATAGGAAACTCACCCAAATGCAACTGTACATCTTTAACTTCCACTGTATTCGCATGACGATGCTTAGCCAATAAACAAGCTGCATTTACTGTTGTCTCTACAAAGTCATCCGCTAATTGTAAAAGCATTTCTTCCACTTCTTCATCTAACTGTTCAGTAGGATCTACTTCCCTTACCAACTCTTGCAATCTTGTTTTTGTTAAAAACTAAAATCAAATAGCAGTATCAATTAGCAAACATATTAAAAAAATATAATATACAAAAGTAATCATCGTGTCATCAATCGAGACAAGAAGACGATAAATCACATTGCGTAAAGTAAATAATGAATATAAATTTGTATTATTGTATTATACAAATAATCGTTTTTTAATTGTATTTCATAAATTACATATATATAAAAATGTATCTTTTGCAACCTGATCTTGCTGATAAAAAGCTCATCTTTATTGCCTAAATATTAAGGATATAATTGTGTATAAACGTTTTAATTTGTATGATGTTTATATAAATTACATACTTGTGGAAAATCGCTAAAAGAACTTGGAGTGGACGACTGTTGTAATATTTGTTTCGGAGACTGTGAAATGTATTGAGTTTGTTGAGATTGCGTCTGTGGTATAGTAGTTGCCGTGGTACTACCGATATTGCTTTGCATGTTAGACAAAACCGATGAGGCCTGATTATTAGAGCTTGCAGACTGTAAAGTCCCAAGCACAGGTGTTATCTCGGAACCTGTGTTAGTTGTTTGTACGATAGCACTTTGTTGTGACATTCTTACACTAAACACACACAATTCGTTCTAAATTTTCGTCAATTTCATCAAACCAACTCTGTTCAGTGAGTTTATTGACCCACTTTATTGTTGTAATTTTGTAAAAACAGTTAAACAGTTATTTACATTCTCGATATGTATGTTACACGTATATCGGAGAAAGATTACAAACGTAATTGCTATAATATTCAATGTGTGTGTGTGTGTGTGTGTGTGTTGTGTGTGTGTGTGTAGTGGTAAAAGTGAAATTCACAAAAATTCATTACGAATTAAAGATAAAATATCAAAGAGAAATACGAATTAGAAAATATAAAATAGGTTATTAGCTTGCTGAGAAGAGTAGAAACTAGAAACCACAGACTTCAATACATATACATTATACTAGACCGTTAACGCTAAAGGCCATTACACGTGAAAAAATTTTAGTCGTAACCATAAAGCCCGTATCAGACTACGCATTAAAGATTGAGATTGAAGATTGAAATTTGACCAATCAGGACAAAGAAATTTTAGCCCCTTTTGTTCTGATTAGTCAAATTCCAATTTTTAATCTTCAATCTTCAATTTTCAATGCATAGTCTGATACGGGCTTTAGGCCGTAATCAAATCAACCAATCACAATTCAAATATTCTTATTACGTTTTAGAATGCTATATTGTGATTGGTCGATTTGCTTACTGTCTTACGATTATGACTAAAATTTTTTAACATGCAATGGCCTTAATAGCGACGTGAAATGTACAATGTGATGCAAGCTTTGGATTATTCTGGGAGTGTACGATACATTTAAAAAATAATGGACTAATTTACAACGATATACTTTAATGCGTATTAAGTACTACACTGGCCAATCATAGCCAATCCTTTAAAGAATGGAATAGTTGTGATTGATCGGTATAATATTTAGTACCTATTAAAGTATATCGGTGTAAATTAAGCTAATATGTGTTAAGTCCGTATCAGACTACGTATTGAAGATTGAAATTTGACCAATCAGGATAAAAGGAACTAAAATTTCCTTGTTCTGATTGGTCAAATTTCAATCTCAATGCATAGTCTGATACGGGCTTTAAGTCCGTATTATAGCGTTTTTGAATATTTAATGCGTATTTAACAATACATTAAAAATATAATATTAATTAACGAAAAAAAACCACAGTTATCTTGTTGTTTTTAAGAAAAAATATGTAACTACTCGTAAATTCATATTTTTTCTTAAAAACGCGATTGACATTCTGCCCAATTCAAAATGGTTGTCTTTGCATCGCATTTCATCATATATGATCGCGCATTGTCACTTGTCACGTTACCGATCGAGTTTCAATCAGTTTCGGTCTCTTTTCCAACAGCGTGCGGTGTCAATGTCAAGCTCCCGGTGTTGGTATTAACTCACTGCGAACTGTAAACTGCAAACTGCAAACTGCAATTGGCAGCGATTAGCAGTATCTGCTATGATCAGTCGGATAGTCGGATGACGTGATATGCCGTGTATCGTGCAAACGGTGGAGAATCTATTGCAGGTGTATTTACAGCAACGTGAGAGAGAATATTCGTCTGTCCGTCGTGCTAATCGATGAGGCGCATTTGTACCGTGTCAAGCTTGGAAGTCTTCCATCGAGATTTCGTGACACGTTTACGATGTAGACATCATCCGTCGTGTCCGTGATAAGGGGCGAGCCTCGGACTTGAAAGATCAAGTTTATTTCTTCGTATATACATGCGATACATGTCGAGAACGAAACGCTGCCTGTGCGACGTGGAAACCATATTCTGCCTCTTTCTTTCTTTCTTTCCGCCATGCTCTGTCTCTAGTTTATTCTACCCTTTCCTCTTCCTCATAACGGCACGTCTTATTCTATATATGATCCTCTTGCTTTTTTTTTCGCCGTGATTGTAATTTTCTTTCTTCCTAATCTCTGCGCCACGTACGACTCGCCGGTGTTTCTCGGTTTTTGTATTCAACCGTGCATAAGTGTACACAAACACAGAGTGCTACTCCGATAAATACGTGGACGACAAGAATAACTATCACCAGCATTGATGATACTGGTTATGCGACACGCTTAAGGAAATGTGCTTAGCGCCAGCCACGAGCCACGAAAGGTAATTTTCTTTCCGTCGTTATATGTGTATGCATAGCCATCTATTTATTCATATATCTTTACACTTCTAGATTTTTGCGTTTCTCTCTTCTTTCGTTTTTTAAACTGATAATATTGAATAAGATTTATGCCGAACAAAATAAAATTACATTGGGAATTTTTTATTAAGAAAAACTGTAAACACACCCCCTTAAATAAATTTAATAATTTTTTAACAAATCTTTTTTTATGTTGGATTTAAGATGTAGGTTAGGTAGAGAAGCTATAACAAGCAGAGAAACTCAACACTCATAGGGATTAATTAAAAATCTGTTTAAGAGTGGGAGGTGAAACAAATATTAATATTTCCGAATTTTTTAAATTATGTCGGATTGTATTGGGCAAGCACGACAATTTTTCTTAATAACAGAATATGATCAGATTATTAATTTTCAATATACAATAGAATTTTGAAGAATTACTTTTTTTTTGTTTTTATTTTTGATAATTCATAACGTGAGTTATAAATTGTGTGTGCGTTTTATTTATATTATAAGAACCGCATTTAGCGTTATTCAGAACCAATGATGTGATAGTAACGATAGTTTGGTTTCTTTTTAATTTCTTGTTTTTCCTTGTTTTTTTTCTTTTATTAAATTTTTATTTTTTATAGTATTTTTTTGTTAGTTTCTCCTTTGTAGTAATTAAAACAATATAACAACTATATATATATATTTATTCATATATCTTTACACTTCTAGATTTTTGCGTTTCTCTCTTCTTTCGTTTTTTAAACTGATAATATTGAATAAGATTTATGCCGAACAAAATAAAATTACATTGGGAATTTTTTATTAAGAAAAACTGTAAACACACCCCCTTAAATAAATTTAATAATTTTTTAACAAATCTTTTTTTATGTTGGATTTAAGATGTAGGTTAGGTAGAGAAGCTATAACAAGCAGAGAAACTCAACACTCATAGGGATTAATTAAAAATCTGTTTAAGAGTGGGAGGTGAAACAAATATTAATATTTCCGAATTTTTTAAATTATGTCGGATTGTATTGGGCAAGCACGACAATTTTTCTTAATAACAGAATATGATCAGATTATTAATTTTCAATATACAATAGAATTTTGAAGAATTACTTTTTTTTTGTTTTTATTTTTGATAATTCATAACGTGAGTTATAAATTGTGTGTGCGTTTTATTTATATTATAAGAACCGCATTTAGCGTTATTCAGAACCAATGATGTGATAGTAACGATAGTTTGGTTTCTTTTTAATTTCTTGTTATAAAAAATAAAAATTTAATAAAAGAAAAAAAACAAGGAAAAACAAGAAATTAAAAAGAAACCAAACTATCGTTATATATATATATATATATATACACATACACACACACACCAAGGTCTGTTCATAAAAAAACCGAACTTTAAAAAAAGCACCCGAATGTGATGACGTGGGGCCATCTGCCTTATGGCACTGTATAGGGGGATTCTTTAACTTTCTCACACCACGAACCACGAGCATAACGGTATCGTTTTTATTTTACGTTTTATGGTGATTTGAATGAAGTTGTGTTTGGCGTTCGTGGCGATTTTCTAGACGTGGCGATTTTTTGTACCCGTACATGCGTTGTTCCTTATCAACGATTTTTTGCAAAACACGTGACGGCTGTTGTTCAGCATCCTACTCTCCCTTTCTCAATGCCTCTCTCAAACTCTGCAAGAAAATGTAAAAAAGAAATCGCCACGTCTAGAAAATCGCCAACGACGAATATAAAACCTCATTCAAATTATCATAAAACGTAAACTAAAAACGATAGCGTCATGCTCGTGGTGTGAGAAAGTTGTTAAAGAATCCCATTACACATACACAGTGTCACAAGGCAGATGGCCCCACGTCATGGCATTCGGGCGTTTTTTTTAAAGTTCGGTTTCTTTATGGACAGCTCTTATAAAATTTATAAAAGAAAATAATTTTTGAGTTTAGAAATTTAATATGATTTAAATCTGATTGCAGATTTAGAAAGTGCTTCAACGATTAGAAATATTTCAAAATTCTTTCAATCATGCCGATGGAATTTTTAGACCGATTACCGGTTCCAAACCTCCGGTTATACACCACCATAAGCTTTGCTATATTATCCTGTTCTATATATTATGCCACTCAAATAATCAAGGATCCTACTTGGAGAACGAATCATACGCACATCGATGCTATAACCACAGAGGAAACTAATCCGACGGATCCGAGAAGTCTTGGCATGCATTTCAAAGAACTTCTAGAATGTATGGTGGATGAACCTGTCTGCATTTGGGTATGTGTGTGCTTATTTAAAATTATTGAATTCGAAAACATATGTATTAAAATGTAAAAGATACTGACATGTGCATATTTAAATCTTTCATATATCCCTATTTGAATCTTTCGTATTTTTCTAACATTTTTTGACTATCAAGAGTTTTGAACTATATATGTTCCAAAATTCTATCAATAAAGACATACACATATTATATATAGAAAACAAAATTTTATGGAGATCATTTTATATATATATATAATTAAATCCGAAATTTGGCGCGATATGATCCTATCCTTATATAATTACATAAATCCATTATTTTCTTGGGTAGTTATAAAAATTGTGAGATTTTGCACTCCGGTTTTTTACTTGTAATAGTAAAATGATGACGCGTTAACTATATCCTGAAAAAATAATGATGATTAATCAGGCGAAAGTTTATGTAAAGAGAAATTTAATAATAGTTTTACATTATATTAATGTAAAGATTTGATAGCGCGCGGTTTAAATAAAATCGATGGTTTTGTTTATAATACGTCTACTGTGATTTCTATAAAGAGAAAAAAAATCAATATCTTCCGGTTGTTACGACAGTCTGAATACATTACTTTCCTCTTTCTATATCATGATATTACGTGTCTTGTTACAAGTGCAAGATTACGCAACTATCACGATTATGTGTTTAGCTATTGTATTTGAAATGAATAGATATCTTAAATTGAGCCCTTTGCATTATACTATATTTACGCTAGGAAACTCGTAACGCCAAACTCATATTCCGCGTTCACGTTCGTCTTGTGTAAATGTAATAATTTGCTTTTGTGTTACTTATAAAATAATAGAAGAAAAAGTATCGGAATATATAATAGCTTTTCTGAGATTGAAGGATTCCGTGTTATTGCATTTATTATTTAGTTGTGAAAATATCATTTAATAATTAAGCGAATTTAGTTATTATTAATGAACATAAGTATTTGTCATAATTGTCCTATCTAAAATATTGTATTTTAAATCTTATTTATTGTTTAATTGTGAAATTATTTATGCGAGAAAGGAAAGTAGGCAGTCAGCATATTATACAATATTATGTAACTTTTCAATATATTTTGTAATATATTAAAAAAATGAAATATATTTTATGAATTGAAAAAATTATTTTCTATTATCAGCAAGATAAAATCAAAGAAGTTTTCATATATTTAGTTCAATACTTTCTTTTTTCAATACATAATATTAAAAAAAATAAAATATGTGTTTTAAAATCTTATTTGACTTAATATCAAATATGTGCGAGAATAACAAAATAATTTACATAATTTTATTAAAGTTTTCTTTTTCTATCTTACGGCGTATTCCGATCTTGTATATTAAAATCTTCCAACAATTTGTACTTCAAATAATTACATTCGCATATTTCGAAATATTTGGCAGACATTGAAACAGAAAACATTTGAACCTAAAATTAGATGGCCTTTTTGCTATTTGGCAACGATTAAACAATATATTTATTTCGATTATTTATCATCTGTGTAACATACATATGTTAAAAAAACATTTATATAAAGAACTAGTTGCGAACAAACTGTAAATTAAAATCCAAAATGCATAATTTATTTCTTTTCATCAAACATAAAAATTAAGATTGATTATCAATGTGTTAAAAAGATAAAACTGAGATCATATTCACAAGATTCATATTACAATTAATAAATTTTTATCAAAGACTTTTTGAATATTTTTGGATCATGTTGATATATATAAATAAAAAAAGCATAAAGCATAATTATAATTTTTTTAACATTTTTCTTTTATATGTGTGTGTGCATGCGTGTGCGCGCGCATGTGTGTAAAAAAGATTTTATGAAAATTATAATCTAATTGATGTTTTTTTTTATTTTGTACATATTTCTAATGATATATTGATGATATTGTTATGCTTATTAAACATTTTATAATTCTTTTTTTTTTTATCCATAGACTTTGATCAACATGGCTTACTGCGTATTAATTCTTCTTGGCAAATCTATTCAGAAGCTCGTATTTGGTGAACTACGTGTTTCGGAAAGACAACATCTGAAGGACAAATTTTGGAATTTTGTTTTTTACAAATTTATTTTTGTTTTTGGCGTTTTGAATGTACAATATATGGACGAAGTCGTACTCTGGTGGGCATGGTTTACGGCGCTCGGTTTTCTGAGTCTTCTTAGTCAACTCTGCAAGGACCGGTTTGAATACGTGAGTATAATAATAAAAATTAAAATGCAATAAAGATTTTAGGCATCTTGAAGCAAAATATAAAAATATCTGTTAGTTTTGCATATTCCCACATACACACTCATTCATTCACACACTCACATTTATTCACTCACATACTCAAACTCATTCACACACAAATGCTAACTTAAAATAAAAATAAGTTTTTTTTATAATGTTTTGTCAAAAATATTTAAGAATTGATAAACTCTTACCATGTTTCGAGAAATATAATATTCAATTCATAATTTTTGTGTTTCAGCTATCCTTTTCACCTACCACACCAGGATGGAGTCATGCGCGACTTCTCGGATTGTTGGCGGCAATTCTTGCATTATCTTCCTTCATGCTTTTATTGTCCACTGCTGCAGCCTTTTTCTTCATATCTTTCAACACTTTTGCTTTTATGGCAGCCGAGGTAAATCGTAGCAATGCATCAATCATTTCTTGATAATTATAGCTATCATTTATTACAATATTATTCAATTTTCAATTTTATTTATTCTTACAAAACTAAAAAAAAAATTTGTTAAAGATAATACAATTAAAAATAATTGAAAAACATGATTCTATTATTTATCAGTTCTTTTGAAGCTTAGTTCAAAGCTTATGGCAAAAAAGCTTCTCTTTTTTAATTGCTTATAATCTGAAAACATTTTTGTCAAAAATAAAATGTTGATTTTGAATTCAACAGAAAATTATTAAAATTGAAAACCTGTGTATTAATTTATTAATTATATATGTTTTGTATTAAACACACACACAAATAAAGTTCAAAAACAAACAAAAAAACAGGCAGTGAGAGCCAAGCGCAGGTGATCAGGCGCAAAGAATTTAATATTTAAAATTACATATAAAAATATAACGAGCGTGCGTTTCGGCCCCTTCTTCAGTGCAGGTTAACAATATAATCAAAATTAACGCAAATAAAGTTCAGATAAATAAATTTAGAAATGAATTAAACTCAGAGTTATCTATTTTATAGAAATATAAAAAATGTTATATTTTAAATATTTTAAATGCAAATTATATATCAGAAATTGTTTTAATTACTTGTGATTTAAGAATCTCTCATACTTTAAAATAAGATTAAAAGAGAAATGCGAAGTTTATTATATAAAGATAAATTAATATTTGATTAATTTGATCTTGTTTATAATAATTATTTATTCTGGTCTGTGACAGTGCATCTTGCTTGGAGTACGTACTATTCATGTGATGCTACGTTATGTGATTCATCTGTACGATACACGTGGCGCTGGTACTTCGGCGCAACGCTCTTGGGACAAACGTGGTCCTTTGACCTACTACACGGATTTGATTTCGGAATTGATTGTGTTGGCAGTCGACTTTCTTCATCACAGTCACATGCTTTTGTGGAGTAACATCTTTCTGAGCATGGCATCGCTAGTAATTTGCATGCAACTTAGATATCTATTTTATGAGATACAACGAAGAATCACAAAGCACAGGAACTATTTAGCTGTACTAAATCATATGGAGCAAAAGTATGTAATATATTTATTATTAAATAATAACAGAAATAGAGGCTCATAATACTAACAATACTAGGTTAGGAAATTGGTAAGATATACAGAGCGCAAATTTTTTTTATTATTTTATTTCATTAACAAATATACATTAAATATGTACGTTTCGGACCATTACTTGATCTATCTTCAGCATAGTATATAAAAATTAAATTCGTGTTTAGAAATGAACATGCGCAATTTTCTGCTTAATATTGCGCATGTTTATTTTTAAATACGAATTTAATTTTTATATGCCATGCATATGCTGAAAATGAATCAAAAATAGTCCGAAATATATATATTTGATGTATATTAATTTTAATAAAATTAAATAATAAAAAATATTACGCTTTCTCTCTCTCTTTCTATATATATTTTTCTGAATATATATAATATATAATTATCGCGCCTCGACTCTTATTTGCCCATTTTCTCATCTAGTACTGTTAATATATTTATATGTTATAATATTATAATGTGAGTGTATTATATTAATTTTATCATAGGATATTGATAGAACTATTTAAAGCAAATTCAAAGATCACATAAAATCTACAAAAACTATAATTTTTAAAAAATAAATGTATTTTGTACGATAAATAATAAAATATTTTTAAAAATAATTCTCTTTCGGTTTTTAGTTATCCAATGGCTTCGCAAGATGAATTAGCTGAGAATTCTGATAATTGCGCAATATGTTGGGAAAAAATGGAAAGCGCTCGTAAGTTACCTTGTGCACACTTGTTTCACAACACATGCTTACAATCTTGGTTAGAACAGGACACTTCGTGTCCCACTTGTCGATTAGCCTTGAGTATGCAGGCAAATCACAGAGAGAATGCTCCGGAAATACCACCTGAGCCACAGACACCTACGAGAAGAAACGGCAATCATTTCTTTCTCTTCCTCGATGGTTCAAGATATGTATCTTGGTTGCCCAGTTTTTCTGTCGAAGTCTCACATAATAGGCTACGTGGTAACATCTCTACATTGGCACATACTAATTCCCAGATGGATGCTATGGCAAGACAGGTATTTTTTTTCTAAAATTATAATTTTGAGTTATATAAAACTTACATAAATTTTTATTTTGTTTTATATATTTTACAAAAAATTTTATAGAGATTTATAAAAATTGTTTATTATTTTAATTTGTAAAAAAAGAATATAATATATAAGCTACACTAGTTAGCTATGTAGCGGAGATAACAAAAAGAGAAAAACATTTTTTGTTAGGTTCAACAACTTTTCCCTCATTATCCTCGCAATGTGATTCTGGAAGATCTTAGAATGACCCGATCAATCGAATGGACAGTTGAAAATATACTCGATGGAGTATTAACTATACCACATCATTTAATCGAAGAACCACAAGCAGAATCCGTCCCACAGACGCAAACGAGCATGACAAATATTATGCCCAGTTCTTCGGTCCAAAATTCATCAGATCCTAGATTCGATATTCCATTTGCTGATAGGTAATGGAGATACAAAAAATAAAAATTATTGCATGAGAAATATTGTATTCTTAGATTAGATATCTAAATATTTGTTCAACGACTTTTGTTATAAATTTGTGGAAAATACCAAATCTTTTCTAAAAGAACATCATAAACTAATATTATTTGTACAAATATAATATAAATTATATTCGTTTGAAATACATATATTGGAGATCAGGAACGCAAAGAGATAAAGAACTTTTCATGCTAGTAATCTCTATAGGCATCTCTCTCTCTCTCTCTCTCTCTCTCTCTCTCTTATTTCTTTGATAGAATTAATATATATGTATATGTAGTTATTATTCTTATAGCGGAGAAGAACCTTCAAATCTTGGTGGACGTTTCTCGAAATCATCTGCTGAGAGAGAAATTATACTTCAACGGCGAAAAGAGCACATGCGATTAACAGCACGCAGAAGATATCTAGAGAAGCATCGAAAATCCGACATTGAGTCGACAAATTCATAGATAATGAATACTGAAAATGTTATATCTTAGATATAATAAGCAGCTATAAGACCTGATATTATTTTGAATTTAGTTCAGAGTTTTTCATAGCTGATGTAAAATTGGCAGGCTGCATATTTCTTCTTTTCGAATATGAGACAAGATTGTAGACAACATATGTACTCTTTGCTGATGACTGATCATTAAATACAGCAAGGATATGTCGAAAAATTTTTGCGTGTTTAAGAGTTAACGTTTTTAACGTTCCAAGAAAACGGCAAATTAAAATCACAGTCAAGAGATTAGGCATGACAATTTTGTTAAGAATATCGAAAGGTTGTGAATGATATACTCATGATGATTATTAGCATTGTGCTTACCACTCAATGCTATTGAGTAGTGATAAAATCTGCAATGAGTTGAATAAATTATACTAGAAGACGAAATATTAAAATTTTTATGCAATCTTACTTAAACACCATACCATTGGTGAAACTTACTAATGCCTACCGTGATGTATAATATATACAGTTTAGGAAATAAATTGTTAGAAGATACAGTTAATCTTATTAGGAGCTCTTTGATAAAGAATTATAAATTGCATTGTCGTCCACTTTTGGACAGATTAAAATCTTCGTTTTAAATCATCTTATTTTTCTTGTACAATACTCTTTATATAATTTTTAAGATAACAGTAAAAAAAAAACAATTTATATATACAAATACATCAGAGTATATATATTCTCTAATTATAATAATTATACCAAATCTTATAATTTAATATATGTATTTAGTGTGCCATAAGTGAATTAAAGTGTGAGATGTGCCAATAATAAGTATTGATTTAGTTATGCTTAGTAGAACTTTAACAATTGTTTGAAAAAGAAAGCGGAATCTACCATACTTGTATACATATATGTGTACATGTACACACACACACACACGCGCGCGCGCGCGCGCACGCACACACACACACGTTATATTGGATCATATAACAACCATAACTTAATAAATTTGATGTACACTATTGGAATAATATTTCATATGTTGTTACAACGATAAAAATAAAATCAATATATAATTTTGATGAGTATAATTTATGATATTATAGAAATGTGTAACAAAGAATTTTGTGCAAATGCTGCATTTTCTTTATTTGCGAATAAATGTTAACGTTATTGTTGGGTGCCTCTAATACTAAAAAACAAAAAAAAAAACAAAAAAAAACAAAAAAAATATTTTACTCTATTTTTGTTATATAAGTCATGATCATTGTTCAAAAGAAAATGCAGCATTTGCACAAAGTTCTTTGTTACACATTTCTATAACATCATAAATTAAACTTATTAAAATTATATATTGATTGTATATTTATCGTTTTAACAACATTTGAAATATTATTCCAATAGTGTACATCAAATTTATTGAGTTATAGGTGTAGTTATATGGTCCAATATAAATACGCACGATGTCAATCACAAAAAATGAATAAAAAATGTATTACTTTGTTTAAAATAATTAAACATTATTCTTCATTTCTTTCACATAATGAATAGAATATTAATTCAATTGAAAAAGTATTATAAAGCTTTATCAACTTCTGAGCTCTAACAATAAGTAACTTCTATTGTATTTGGATATTATTCTTAATTTTATTAACGTTTACCCACACACACATATACGTGTTTTCGATCAAAAACTATATATATATATAAAATTTTAATGAGTTTTATGAAATATTCGTATATTTTATGACTTATTAATTATGCAAATACTAATAATAATATCTAGAATTTTTTTTCTCTCAGTTTCTTACTTGTGATAATATGATAGAATTTGACACAAAGATTTATATATATTCACACACATATACACATATGCATTCACAACATATATTCAAAAATATTTATAAGATATAAATATGTAATGTTCTCGCAACTATAATTTTAATAACAGATTCCCTGAAATTTCCAATATTATATATCTTCATAATTAATTTTTGTAAATTAAAGTTCTATCTCTCAAAATCTATTTAAAATTAATTAAATATGAATGTGCTATTATCTATTCATTTCATTGAAGTTTGCGAAAAGTTCCACTTTTTCATTAATTTATAATTCAAAAATCGATCAAGTTCATCAGGGTATCTTTTAAAATTAAGGTTGCAAATTGTGGGTCATTTTATCTGTATAATATTCATACATCATAAAAATCAGTGCAAATCTGCACCTAACAAATGCAAAAAAAAACTTATTTTATTAATGTCAGCGCAGACATTTATTATTGTACTAGAACTTTATATGTATTCTTATCAAGCTATTTATTTTATCAATCTTTAAGTTGCATACATAAAAGTAGGAAATAAGTTGTAAACCATTGTAAGATAATTTTTGTTTGAGACAACTTTTTGGATATAAAAAGCATATATATAACATATTATTGTACAAAGTTTATTATTTTTGTTATAACTCTCTTATAACATTATATTAATAATAGAGAGTTAATGCTTCTCCCAAAATGTTTAAAAAACAATGCTTCATATATAAGCAAATCTCTTATTAAAATAAAAAAATTAAATTTATTTTTGTTATTTGTCTCAATGTGTAAATAAAATATGTGGAAAATTAGAAATGAATATTTTCATAACTGAAGAAGCTTAATTGAATTATATTATTTTTAAGGGACATAGCATCTAGGTGGGTGAGGAAGGGTACTAAATTAAAAAACAGTCCAATAATGCTTAAGTCTCTTAAAAAAAGTAACATTTAATAGATTATGAATTTTTCCTTAGGATTTTTGTAAATATGAGCATGAGAGGTGTCCTATATCTTCTCTGTAGTAAATAATGTAATATTTATCTTTCACTTGGCATTGTACACAATCAATAAGATAAATAAAGTGTATTATAGATTGTTGTAGTTATACTGTTTATCTATTCTAGATAATATATAAAAATTTCTATATAATTGTTAGCATACAATAATAAAAACATATTTTATTATTGTACCCTAAAATAATAAAAGAATTAACATGTTATAATAAATGAAAAAAGTAGATGATTAGTAAGTTACACAAAAATACTATTTTAAAAACTTTTTTTTTTATAAAAACCAATCTTTTTAATTTTATGAATAAAGGCAATAACATAATTTTCTAAACACGTATATGTCATATAAATTCTCCAAGATATATAAAACAATATATAGAATGTATCAAAAATCGTAATGTATAAATGAAATAGAGGTGATTTCATGCAAGGTTTTGTTTTCAAGCAAATTGACTTTGTATAAAGAAATTTTATTCTATATTTTTGACTTGCATGAGAAATTATTTTTCTAATTTTGCTTGTACAGTTTCTCTATGATACAAAATTGTGTATAGATACAAGAAATAAGAGTTTTTGGTTATTATAAAACAATAGTGATACTAATATTTTTACACAATGACATTTATAAACATCAGCTGGTTTTTACTAATATTATCATTGAAAAATATTGGCAGTATTTTGTAGTTTGTATTGATCTTCCAATATTTTATAATATATTGCCATCTCCCCATTAACTCAGAGATATATATGTATATACACTCTTATAATTTTTAACATATATTTGACATATTAGTGTATTAGTCCTTGTTTTGTATAATTTTATTTTCATATATTGTCTAGTATAAATTTACATTGTACATAAAAGCATTTTTATATAATATATAATTTTTTATATAATAATATT